TCATTAAAGCCAAAGTGGACAAAAAAATTCACAAATTCAAAAACACAGCCCAACATTTTAGCTGCTTAATGAGAGGCTTCTGCCACCTAGTGGAGACAAATCCTCATAAAAGTACAAGTTGCAGTATCATTTCAGTTCAAAATGTAAATTCTAAAAGGACAAGTGAGCCTTTCCTTACCAGAATTTTAAAGAACTGATGGATGGAGTTCCTCTTCTCCAGTTTCTTTGGCGCCTTGGCTGCATCACCTGCGGCCTGGGAGGCCACTGAAGCAGGTTTATTATCTACCACGGCCTCGGATAACTTGGCTGCTGCTTTGGGTTCCTCCTTGGCTTTCACTGTCTCTGGGGCTGCAGCCGGGGCAGGACTCGCCTTTTTGGGATCAGCGGCCTGTAAGTGTTGAAGCGGTGCATTATGAGGGACTGAATTTATTCCAGTGCTCCACATGTTGAGATCAGATGTAACGTGTTAAGCTCTTGGATGCAGCAGAACATCACGGGCGATGTGTATAGAAGCGCGGTTAGGAAATGTCTCTGACAAAAAGTAGTTAGAGAACTTCAATACCAGATGTAATTGCTGAAATTACTCTGGAATAATCTATCTATTCTCCAGATGCAATTTTACTGTATTTACCACTCCAGTTGTTCTCCCGAGGAGACGAACTCCACTTGTGGAGGCCGCCTGGACTTTTGTGGTCATGTGGTCTAATAGGACCTCAAAATTCACATAAATATATTACTTTGTGTACTTAAATTATTCTACAATTCATACTGAGACATAAAAAAAACATAAAGATGTGAACAGCCCCTTACTTTAGGCTTGAAGAGAGAAAAGAAGGAGGATGTTGAGGCAGTTTTCTGTGCTTCCTGCACAGGCGGCGGCGGTTCTGGTTTCGCTGCAGCCTCCAAAGTGCCAGCTTTTGAAGAATCCACCTTCTTTTATCAAAACAGCAGAAAAGAAAATACACATGAGGTACGGAAGCGTTAGGACCAGCATTGAGGCGGACGGAGTACGGGGAAGCATTTGCCACCTGTGAAAAAACGAAGAGGTAAGGGCAGAGATTCCAGGCAGAGTCAGAGCAGAAAGGAGGTGAAAGAATCTGTAAGTGTAGAGATCCGCAGAATCATGCACATAGGTATATAATATTACTGCTTGCAAGGGAAGAAATAAAAGGAAATAGTAAAGTGAATGTCTCCACTGAAGATTCCTCCCTTGAATGATTGACCCATAGGGAAATGAGGGAATTTGCTTTATTGCCAAGTGATGAGAAGACCGTTTTTAATATCTTTCCTATGCTGTATGATGCAGGAGACTTTTGACTTGAAGTTTCATTAGGAATTGAAACAGCTTAAAACCATCTTTGGGCTCCATGCAAAAGTTACCATTTGTTTCTCTTTAACACTAATAAACCATTTAATTTGTTTATCCAACAAAAAATAGCTTAAAAACTGCCAATAAGTGAATCTTTTCAGCATCGGACAGAGCAATGCTGTTTAACAGACAGGCACATTTAAGCCTCTGTGCTAAACTAAACTAATCTAATCTAATCTGCTACTAGCTGACGCCTCAAATTTAACAGAGGCAGATGAGAGCGTTCTTCTCATCTAACTCTCGACAAGGAAGCATGAAAGCAGAAGATCCCAAACTGTTGATTTATCTCCGCCGCTACCACGGGCTGTGGTACATCTGCTACCATCTGCACGAAAGGGGAATTATTTATTTCCCTTTTTTGCATGGTGCATGAAATGCAACAGAAATTTACCTGCTCTTGTACAACAGGCTGGGCCACCTGCTCTGCTGAGTCATGGGGGTCAACATTATTTTCACTCTGAGCAAATGCAGATGAACAACAATATGTCAATTTCATGGAATGCAATTTTTTTTTGCAGTGTAGTACATGGTGATGCCAAGATAATCACATAATCTACCCCTCATAAAAGACTTAAGCCCCAAATGAACAACTGTCCTTCGATTTACCTTGACTTCTAAAACAACTGGCTCAGGAGCTTCCACTGGTGTCTCCTGCAGAACAAAGCTACTTTTTTATTCTGAGATGCAAAGTAAAATGGACAAGGAAACATGCTGAAATGTACTTAATCTGGCCGAATTTTCTGACCGCAAATGTAACCAATTATAAGATGATTCAAAACAAGAACCACTGCACTCGTGCATTAAACACATTAGCAAGCCATGAATACATCTGAGAAGATTGGGCATGCTCTCTGGATTACCTCTACTTCTACAACTTGTTGTACGTCTACTTCAATGTCTGGCTTTGGTGGGGACTCCTTGTTTGTCTGCAGGACGGTGGGGGAAATGTTATTGTTAGTAAAAAGCCAACAGAACCGAAAAGGAAAAGAAATGTTTGCATGTTGTAATTTGAATGTTAGCCTGACAATGGACGCTAACTAATAAGAATTGGTTAAAGGAATAATGTGACATTTTTGTGGAAAATATTATACTTCACCAAAAGTTGGCAGGTCAAAACCTTTCTCATGACCGTAACTTAGCACAGCATAAATACTGGAAGACAGTACTGCTCCTTCCAAAGCACACAAAGAGCCTTTGTTCTCGGCCAATTGTCCGATTCTAACTCCATACTTAGCTTACAGAAACGATGGTGGTATTGATCCCCTCGTCTAAACTCTTGGCAAGTAAGCCAGATAGTTGTACGTCCCAAAACGAAACACAATGTTACTGATTAATTCACTAATGCAATTTAAATGTTGGGAACATAAAGTATTATGGAAAAATGGTCTGTGGTAGAAACAGCTGCACTAAGGCGAGGCCGTTTGACCGAGGAACTGGCTGCAAAGTCAACATTTTGAAAGACTTGCAAAGAACAAAAATCTGATTGGCCTGGATATGGTTCAAAACTATGTGCATATCAGCTGACACGATCGCTGCAGGTTCCGATATGGAAACAGCAAGTTGTCCTGTTTCAGCCTCTTCCAGACAAACCAGCTCTTGTTCAGTAAGTAACAGGATGAGCCACGGCCACTTTGAGAATATAATAATGTGACACTGTACCACTGCTGGCAACTTGAGGGGGCATTGTCTCCACATGCTGAAGCACCCTGGACCTCACATGTCTCGTCACGTAGCAGTACCTCATATTCACATATATTTCTGTTATAATCAGATTTCTCCGTGGACTCACTGAAAGTCTCCATGAATCACCTACACCATCTTGTCTTGTCTTCGCTGTTAATTTACCTTTGAACGGAAAAATTTGCTTAGAGTTGCTGATTTTCCTTTGGAGGACTGGGGTTGCTTGGCAACAGCTTTTGCTTCTTCTCTTGGTGTGGCCTTGACAGGTTTAGCAGCTGGTTCTGCCTTGATATCCATTTTTGGTGGCTCTGGAGGAGGTGGCGGTGGGATAGACATTCCTTTGGGCGCTGCAGGCGGCTCAGATACTTGTGCGACCTATTCAAGAGAGAGAGGTTGTTAAAGTAATGCACGGAGTCACCTTTAACACTATACGCCTGTTACACAATGACAAAGCAGTGATTGATTCGGTTTAGCAACTAAGTATTCATCCAACATAAACTATCACAAATTGAATTAGTATGCAACATTAGAAAATAAAGTAGAATTTCTGAAACTAAACTGAAACCAATATGGCCCGACAAACATATGCTTTTTAGGGAAATAAAACACTATTTGGGCAATGAGCTCACGGTAGTGGTTGCTGCTGGTTGGTTCTCCTTCTGGGACTATTTTGCAACAGAAAAAGGGAAGCAGTGAGAAATAACGTTAAACGTATGCAAAAAAAAACATGCAAAAAAGCTTGTAATGTCCTATAAATAGTTTGGAGAAGCTACTGGTTAAATGTTTTTGGGCATCAGAGAAATCAAACATAAATTCATACAAGGCATGTGGCAAAAAATGATTTCAACACATAATCAACCATTACATTACTGAGCTCACTGATCTGGCTTTGTTAACAAAAACATTTGTGATATAAAACTGGTTATTGAAACTTATAACTGGGAACTCTGCTGGGAAATCCCCTGGTGGTACTGTCATAATGAATGAATCATTTAAAATCACACAATCCTTCATAAACATCTGCGTCACCTGGTCTTTTATGGCAACAGGAGCAGCTGTTTCCTTTTTGGTTATTTTGGAAGTCGTCTGTACAACAAGGAAAGAACAATTAACCGCCTTAAATCACTTGTATTCACGTCACACAATACGTTGAATCTCAATTTGACGAAAGCGTCGAGCTGCAGTGTAAAACAGGATCAGCGCGAATGCAGACATGGGCCTTTATGATAAGCTGACTGAGGCACCCTGAGGTCCCCCGACAGAGCACATACAGTACGTGCGCTGTCATTGTGATAGCCATTGTGCTCCGGGGACGGCGTAGGCCTGCCCTCGCTCCATCCTCACAAATCTCAACGTCCAAACGCACAGGCGTCCCTTGTGAGCTCACGCGATGGGCCGAACAATAGGCCCCCACATTCCCGCATGTTCAGAGACTCGATTAGCATGGGGCTAGTGCGATGGTAACTCTTTAAAACAGCATGGATCCCAAAGACGGCACTATGAAGAGCCAAAACAATAGCTGCTTGTATGCTTCTCCATCAGGCGCTGTGGTCATTGCACATTTTGCCATGGATACCTTTGCTGCCATAAACATTTTTTTTAATAAACATATATATATATATATATATATACCTCAACAACAATAACAATATTAAGAAAAAGAGTTGAAAACCTGTTAAAGCAACGGGTTTTCATGAATTTCTGCAGTAAAAATTCAAACACCAGTTAACGTAATCGTTGTTTAGCGGTCGTCTTCCTTCTGTAATAGCTGGTTTTAATAAAGGTGGATTGTTTTTTTTAAACGTCTGATCAAAGCAATTATTATTCAATTTACTCCCCGGAATCTAATTTTACAAGCAATAAGAAATACAAAGTGCATACAAACCACACATAATTCTGAAATTGTGTCACTTACTAGAGATTTGAAGAAGTTCATAACTGGATTCTCTTCTGGGTTATTGTCCTCCTGGTTTCCCTCGTCAGAGTCTAGAGTCACACTCTCTGGCTCCGTCAATGATTCTGACCCTTGCTTTTGCTTAGCTGTCTCCTATACACCATCACAAAGAATTAGCCTTTGAGTATTGCGTTAGAGCAGCGTGGCTTATAATGCAAGCAGTGAGGGTCTTAATCGCAGCATTGAGATGGGAGTACACAATTCCAACCATGCCTCTGCCTACTCGGGGCACTGTCAACAATCGGCCTTTTATCAATGCGTGTGTCCCACCCCTCACTCATTGATATTCAACAATGTGTGAGAGTTTTGCCCGGAGAAAAGAATGTCAGGAAACGCAAATACCTTTGCTGGGTTTTGATGCTGGGTTATCGTTGACCAACTCTGATTTAAAGATCATTAGTGAATCTGCTAACGTTCAAATGTCTAATTCATTGTTTTTCAAAGTCATTAGTGGCCCTACTTTTTTGAAAGTAGGTATTATTTGTCACCTGACACCGACCAAAGGAATGCAAACAGATGATGAAGAAAATCATGAACGGTTTCATTTTTCATTTTATTGGAAAATCAGCAAGTGTTAATAAAGCATAAAAAAACAGAGGGACTTGCTTGTTATGATAAAACACAAATAATTTTACAATTGGGTTGTAATTACTTTCGCATCAATCATTTAACACATTACATCCTGGAGGCAGACCAATCATTTTCAACAAAAAAGTTCAGACAAGGATTTTACTGCTTTGGCGCCACATGAACAGTAACCGTGATACTGTATCCTAGTGAAGGAAGCATTAAACTACCAGGCCTATTTGTCGATTCTTCAACAACTGATTTACACGCCGACTGCAAACTAACAGCTAAAGCTTCCATGTCTGTTCTTGTGACACTTTGTGAGTCCACTGTTGGATCTGATGAGTTCACACTTGATTCCTTCTCTGCATCCTCTTCAGCGTCTTCCTCTACAAAGGCCTCTGGTGACACCTCGTCTGAAGTCACGAGGCGGCCGTCAGCTGAGAAGACGTCCTCGTTAATGATTTCTTCCACAATGGCCTCAAGGACAGCGTCGAAACTCTCTGACATAGCCTCATCCAAAGTGGTAATCTGGGAGACATCCACCGCAGAAGTATCTGTTTCATGCATTATCTGTCTCACAGCCCCGTCTTCAATTGTCTCCATGGCGACGATCTGCGCGCTGGACTTTGGTCGGCGCTCGAGATGGCTCAAACTCCTGGAATTGGCTGGTACTTCTGCCGGGGCGACGTTCTCGTCTCTGAGTCTCTCTTGGACCGAAACGCAAAGCTCGGGCTCTCCCGTGGCGTCCATCGGCGGCACATCTGCAGGCTCCTCACCAGTGTTTGTGGCGTCTTCTGCTACTGTTTCAGTTGCATTTGATAAAGCCTCTGCAGTGACCCTCTTAAAAAGCTCCTCTGCAACAGCAATGCTTGCTTCTTGGCCCCCTGGAAGGCCTGCAAAAGTTGACGCGGTGATCACCTCCTCTATCAGAGGTAAGCCTTTGGCCGCTGCAGCCTCCCGAGGCAGGCTGCTAGATTCTTCTCTGAAGTCTTCAGAGAGGGCATTGATTGCCGCTTCCCACATTGCCTCAGCACTGTCTTTGGCAAGTACGGGACTTGGTTCTGCTTCTTCATATCTTTCTGGTTCCACGGGAAGCTCCTCAATGATGGCAGGCTTATTGGGAGCCTCTGCAGTGATGATGTCATGCTCAGGGCAACTATCGCACTTCTCTGAGGGCTCGTCGTCCAGTTTTGCTTGTTGAGGTGTTTCTGGTACAATCTCCGTTGCAACAGCATCATCAGCGGTGACCTCCTCATGGGCAGATTCTGCCTTAACTAGAAGTGCTACTGCAAGACGGGCAGAAGAATGCTCTGCGGGCGCATCGTGGTCTGCTGGTGCGGGATCAGGTGCCTCGCAAACAACCTCAGAGATTGTCTCCATCAGCGCGGTGGCTGAGGAACGAACGGCATTTGCTTTCCGGGCCTCAGTGGACTGATGTTTGGCGGTTTCAGTCTGCACGGCATCGACTGACGTGTGTCCAGCTCCTTCGCCATTGTCTCCAGTAGCTACTCCGTCTGCAAGCACTGACGAGTCCACAGCAGCAAAGCCGGTGGACTGAGGCGCATCCGCAAAAACCACCTCAACACAATCTGCCACCACTTTAGGAAAGCTGTAATAGACCTCCGATGCCGATGTTTCTCCAATGTTATTTTCCTCTGCAACTGTTTCCTCTTCAATCTCGGATACTTTTGGGTTAAAACCTGGTTCTGCAGTGATGTTTGACTCAGTTCCATCAAGTTCTGCCCGTTCCAGTCTGAACACCATATTTTCATACATGACCACCCCCTCATTGATGGTCCGAGCGGCCTGGTTGTCGGAGGACTCCCCGTCATCCTGAACAATGACGCGGGCCGACACATTTAGAGGGTCTTCTTCAGTTGATCCAGTCTCCATGGAGACTGCTTCTTCAACAGGAACCTCGTTATCGGTGGTTGCGACTTCCTCGTTCTTATACGTTTGTGTCGAGATATCTGCCTCAGTTGTCCCGTCTGTTTGTGTTGATGTTTCAGCTTTTCGAAGCGGACACTCTACGCTGTCTAGGTGCACAGCGATCATCGCTGCGGCTGCTTCTTCTCCACTTGAGGTTGACTCCTTGATCATAAAAAACCATTTGCGTTTAGATTTTTAAAAAAACAACTGTGTTTTTGATTACGGGACACATATGACAACCCTGTGTTTCATTACCTTGTGACTGAGAACAATTAAGTAAAGAAATTAGGTTATTTTTTTCTTTTTTTTAATTTGTATTTTGGCTTAATTGAGACGTTAAATTCATGTGAGGTAGTCTGACATGCAGATTTTTCTGTAAATTGGAAAACCTTCAAATATTGGACTGGATTTATTCTAGCTTAACCTGTGTGAACAAATCCTTCAATGCAGTCCCTTTACTTAATAGGAGCTGATTTCCCTTCTAATCGTGTCTCTGATCTTTTATCAAAAATGGAAAGCTTTCTACTTGGCTCAAAAATATGCAGTTCAATTTTTTAAAAACAGCTAAATAATTTTCTGAAAATGCTGCGCCATTTAGTTTTTGTGTAACACTGCTCAAGGAGTAACAACTGGATTTCTTTTCCAGTCGTGGATAAACTCTTATTTGTCAGTAGAACGTGTGTAGAGTCCAAATAAACAAGGCATCCAAGCAACTCAGACAACACTTGCTTTTTTAATCTTTTCATAGAATTTGTTGCCAACGAGACAAATATGGAATTCACCCTTCAAACAAGGAAAAGTGTACTCACCGTCTGTAGATTGGTGGCAGGGAGACTAACATCCGTTTGATCTCCTTCACTTTCCCTGACCTCTTCCTTGTGGATGACGATTTCAAGGATTTCAGAAATAACTGGAGCGTCAGCAGCTTTACCGTCTAATTCCACAACGACAAAATCATTTGGTTCAGTCGCACGCTTTAAAGAAGAGGACTCGCCATTCTTCTGGACTGCGGCCTCACCGTTAGCTGGAATGAAAACAAAAAAAAGAATCCATAATAAAAATGTGAATAAAATTAAAAAAAACTCACTCATTTGCACATAGTACATCACATAGTATCCAAATGTGTAGTTTTTTCTAAACTGTCAAAATGTCACCTAGTTTGTATTCTTGTGACGTGAACTCCCTCTTATCCAATGATTACTTGTGTGTCTAAATGTGTTTTACCAAAGAAAGTCACAGCTGTCACCACTTTCACATGTCAATGTTGACTCCGATGTTAAGCTCTTTGCATGCAACACTAAACTCATGAGTGATATCAGCTTGTGCGATGCTCAGTGACATTATTATTGTTGTCTCCAGCGTCAACATTAGCTCTTGGACAAAGTCCCAGTGGGGATCCTACAGCCACTGCAAAGACAACCACAAACCAACCGCTCCATGACGGGACAAACAGTGGCTACTTGTCAATATCTAAGAGACTACGCCTAAAGTTTACATTGGAAGTCTCAAGACAGAGGCTGGCTAGTGAGTCACCGTGCTGACGGAGCCTTTTAAAGTCCAAAAGACTAATCCAAAACACACACAGGAAGATCTGCTCATGTACAGTGTTTTCCCACCGAGCGAGATACAATGAAACAGATCACAGGGCATTAATCTTCATTCAGTGGCACTGTTAATATTTTACCACTATTTCACAGCTGAATTCGTATCACGTTTTAGTTTTCCATTAGTTATTTTAAAGAAAAGAGAAAAATAAATTGTAAATAAATCTCACCAGAAATCTCCAAGCCGTTAGATGAGAGGTTCGCAGAGAGGCCGTTCGCTGATCCATTTATATGCTTCTCAGGAATCCTGCCGTTCTATAAAATATAATGAAGAAATGCCTGTTTGTGCTGACTCCACAGCTCATGAGACTTCGTCTGCAGTGGGTTGCAATTTCAACAGTTTCAACAGTGGTTTTGACTGTAAAGGAACCGGATGAGGAATCGAGCATTTTGAGAGAAAAAACGAAGCAACTAGCATCCATTTTTCCATGTGATCCCAACCACTGATATAGAGGCAGCAACATATCTACACTACAGGATTACAGCTTTTGAATAGAATGTTACCCTGTTCTGCAGTTCTTTGTTCTTGGAGTTCTCGTTTCCCATGTTTCTCCACAGATAACAATGACCGATCTGAAACACAAAGGGAAACAAGTAGAAATGTAGTTTGGTTGTGTTGTGTAAAAACTAGAAAAAAACTAGAAAATATACACCGGAGATTAAAAAATGTGTACATCTTATATCTTCTTAACTAAGTATGAATGAAACGTCTTACCTTGTTGCACTTCTGTAAGTCCAGCAAGCGATATCCTCCTTCAAAAAAAAGATTGTGTCCGTCAGAGAGATGTGCTTCCTATTCAGGGTGTATGTGAGCTGTTGGTAGCAGCCTATATACACACTCGTGTGCTTTTAGGAAAGGGTGGGACCGTTTTTTAAGTAATCAATTGTTTTCATGCAGTAAAAAGCCCAACAGAGGGTTCGTGCACTTTAATGAGCTCATGGTAATCTCACTGTGAATTATCTGAATAACCCCCCCGACATGATTATGTAGGGGCCGTCTAATCACTCACACACTGTTGACGCAGCACATTTTTGTAACAGGATGTATGTTAAGGATATTGGCTTGTCACACTTTCAGACTGCCAAAACAAAAATACATTCTGTATTGGCCTGATTATTTTAATATTTCTAAGTAAAAAATGTTGTCATGTGGGTCCTTATCAACAGTTACATGTATTTATATAAGTACAAAGTATTGTTTTGATATTATTTGAGAAAATGCTTTTTGATTGCCAAGGAACAGCTATCTGCTTCATTATCACAGTTAATCAAGAAGAACAAAGAGCTCTGTAATGAAATCATCGGTCTTTACAGACTTTCACAGGGTCGTATGTAAATGTCTTTAAGGGCCTTCCACTACATCGATGCAAACAGTCCTGTCTGAGACGAGTTTACAGATCAAAGACAAACAGCAAGTCCATCAGCTGACTACATGCTTCTTCTACGAGTCTCTTCTGCTTCTGCTTTTTTTTTTAGTCCTTTTGACAATAAATGTGCTCTGATCATGTTGACAAAAGCATCTTTATGCAAGTCAACCAAACAGGTCTGAGTGTGTTTTCACCACAAAAGATTACAAAAATGAACGTCAAATGTGCAGTAGGCCATTTATTGACCTTATTATGATACGTCTTGGAATCCATGAACACAATGTCTCAATTGTAGCCTATGGCCTGCACATGGAGGTGGGAGTTGGATTCCCCTGTTGGGATTGTGCACATTTGACTTCATACAAGGCCCCGCTGAGGGACCTCGAACAAACTCCTCATGATGTATTAACGCACACGGCAGACTACTGGTTTCAGTAGCACTACACTGCAAAAATCCACCTCACTATAGAACTATAAACATTTAGTCAAAATAATTAATTTCTCATGATACTGCCAGCTTGCACAAGCCTTTGCAGCCAGTCAAAATTGGATTCAATTGAGCGGTGCTAGCTCTGTAGGTGTATTCAGTAAATATTTGAGTTTGGGTGAAGTACTGTTTGCTGTAGATACATTACAGAGCAGCAGTTCCGGTTGATAAAATAACTTGTGGGACATATTGTCGGCGGCATTTCTCGAGAGGATTAATGTTACTTGCTAATCAAATAGGCTGAATTCATCCCTTAGTTGAAATAGCGCTCTGTGTTTTTAGTTTAGATGGAAATGAAGAACCATGTTTGATGCCACGTTACATGACAAAATTACTAGTAATTGTTTATTATCAAAGCACATGTGTGATCGAGGGGAAACCACTATGTGCCGTCAAATGAAGAAAGAAACGGTAGAAACAAACTTAAACAAACACTTTAACTGGCATCCTCGCTGTGGCGCTCTGAGGTGGCCGCCCCGCCAGGTGGCGCTGTGGCCATTTCTTTCGGTTTAGTACATCAGTCTTTGTGCAGTCGAGGAAGCCGTGATGGCAGCCACCATGAAGGGACCTGTAGTAAGTATTAAATGAGGAAAAACGTGTCTTCTGAACACGCTGTCGAGGTCTCTTTTGGCGCCTGACAGCAAATGTCAGGAGTGTGTGGGGGGGAAAAGGCCACAATGGCCGATGGTCGTGGTTATCAGACGGCTGCAGCGACACCCTCGTGTAGCTAACGTCAACGACTGGGGTTAGCCGCCGCTAGCTGTTAGCTTGCTAGCTCGCGCTCTTGCTAACTTCGCTTGTTCGTGTGTTTATGGGACTGAGACCTCCTTGACGATCCACCAGCATGAAGATAATGGTGATACGCAGCTAATCACCGGCCTTAACTTTCGCTAACGGCGATTGGCCACCAAGCTGTCACCTGTCGCCAGCTAGCAAGCTAGCTCACACATTCATATTAATGCTAGGGAACCAACGGGGTTTGTCCTGTTGTTTTGAATGGAAAAGTACCTTTTAAATAACTTTCGGTAGTATGAATCTAATCCATCTATATATGTCACGTTAAGTCACAAGTAAAAGTACTACGTTTAAAGTTTGTACTTATTAATAAATAACGGGTTGTCATTGTCAAATGTACGTTAATTGACTTGAGTTTCAACGATACTGATTTTGCAGATTGGCCCAGCTCAGAATTATTATCTGATTTGTCGTGGTACATTTACTTCAGAATTATACGTCCAGTATTAAATATTTTTCCCCGGCTGACTTCTGCATTAGCTTTAACCTTTCCTCTTTCTTGTAGGGCGTTGAAGACGTGAATGTCACGTTTGCTGACCAACAGAAGATCAATAAATTTGCCAGGAACACAAATCGGATGACGGAGCTGAAAAATGAAATCGAAGTAAAGAAAGTAAGTGGTGTGTATTGTGAAAGTCTTCCATCAGTGGTCATGTTTTCAAAAATCATATTTACAAATTATCTGCCCTATTCTATTATACTAGAGTAGTTAAATCCTTAGTCTGTTTTCTCTTAAGTGATCATTTTTTAATGAGTCCAAACATTGGTTTTAAGGGAAAAAAGGTGCATAATCTCGTTATTTGGGGTTTAAAGGTGGTGCAGTTGCTTAATCAGTCCTGTTTGTTAACAGCCGCAATTGAGTGTAATGATCCGCTGTCTCCCCTCAGAAATCGCTTCAGAACTTGCAGGATGCCAGCGATGACCTCATGATGTTAGACGACGACGCTCTATTGATCCCATATCAAATCGGCGACGTCTTTGTCAGTCACACCCAGGAAGAAACCCAAGAGATGCTTGAGGCTGCAAAGGTAAGTTTCATAATCATAAAAACTCTAATCAGACTAATCATTTTGTAAAATACCCTAATTAACTCAGTCATTAAGATAAAGGTCTGTGGAGGAGAATTCTTATGATTGATCTAAAATGAACTTGAGCAATGTTAGTTGCAAGGCTGACAAGAATACATACATTCTATAAGTAGTATACTTGATTAGTTTTCTCCTTAAAACATTTTACTTAAAATAAGAAGATGTCTAATCCCAAACTATCTTATCCTGGCTTAGGAACCTTCTTTATACATAACTAATATTTATTTTTCCCCGTCCCGGGCTGTTTTTAAAAATGGAGAACTGAATTCCTTTTGAAAATCAGTTTGTTCAGATGAATTAACATGAGCAGATTTCTTCAAATTTGGCACAAAATGAACTGCAGACTTTTGATTTAATTAATATTCCAGTTTCTTTACGTGGCTCACTGGTTAAGACTAGCTGATTCATTTCACATTCATGAACAATCATCAATCATTTTAAGTTTTCCGTCCTCATCGCATTTGAGAAATGTCGTAGTTGTTTGCCTGCCGTGGGGAAATTGCCGCGGTTGTCGTGTAATTGGGAGTTTTCTGATCTGTAATCAGGAAACACTGGAGCAGGAGGTGAAAGGCCTTGAGGAACGCGTGTCGGCGATACAGCAAGTTTTGGGTGATCTGAAGGTCCAGCTCTATGCCAAGTTCGGTAACAACATAAACCTGGAGGCCGATGAAAGCTGAGCTGCCCCAACACAGACTCTCTGTCATGCAGCTCCCGTGTCAGATCCACAAAGCGTCTGCCCGGTAAAACACCAAGCAGGAGCTGGCGTGAAAGGCTGCAATTTGGAGCTTCTGGCTTTTGTTGGTGCACCCATGTTGTACGACCAATTCACAAGGACAAGAAAAGATCTGATTTGAAGATTGGATAAATGAACATCATGTCTAAGGTCTTTTATTTGGTCTCTTTATTAACATTTGTTTCCCTTTACGTGGTGGATCAAACTAAAGTTTAAAGAAAATTGTGAGAAAACAAAACAGCTGTTTAATCTTTTAATTTGTGACAAATTTGACATTCTGAGCTTGTTTCATTTGTAAACTCTGTTTGAATACCCTGACGGAATGAAGAAGTTGTCTCTGCACTAAGGGTGGAAATCCTTAGACATGTTCTCTCTGCCTGAGCTAGAGATGATTAAATGAGTACGCACTGTTACTGATTCCTTTGTTTGTTGTCTTTTACAAACTATAGAAATATTCTCAGCCAATGAATCCTAAAAAATATAGTGACAAATAGAGCCAAACTCCCATCTGCCATTTTATTTACCTACTTAATTTGTGGCTGTTTTTGTTGAGACACGTTTAGCACAAACTGCATCTGTGAACTGAAGGACTTAACAGAATATCAAAATACATCATTAAAAAAAGTCAGTATATCGGGTGGAAAAAAGTGATGGATAAAAGTCAAAATGTAAAGGGTAAAAAAATGTGATGAACAAAAGTAAAATATATATATATATATATATTTCAAAAATGTCAATTTATATTAGGTGGAAAAATCGAATGGTAAAACCATATTGGGTCAAATCTCATTTGAAAAAAAGTATGTGTTGGGTCGAGAAACGTCATTTTCTTTTGTCCATTTTCAGGCGCTCTCAACTTCAAATTTGTTCAATACAGTCTAGAGACCTTAGTGATTAAAAGTTACCAGGCGCTTGTGGTGTCGTCGAACAGCGTGAAAGGAACCCTACCCTTCGTTTCCCGTCTGAATGGTGTTTCTTTTTTTAGATAATCCTCTTTATATACAGGGATACTTGGTGGCTCCCACAAATAACAATGCACAAACCTCATTAAATTGTGCCCCCCAAGTGTGGCCAGTATGTTCTAATAAAACACATGAAGAAAAAAAGGAGTGCTTAAAGTTATTGACACCTCTGGAGGATCGAGATCTCAATTAACAAGTTTCTCCTCCCGGTGGGTCTCCTGCTCAGCATTCATGGCCATGATTAAGAAGACAAAGACAGTCTTTATGCACAGCTTGTTAAACCCCGGCTCAGAGGAACGCACACGGAAATGACTATACTTATTTCCCTGAAGGCATCGTTTACTCACTCGCTCATTTGTCAGAGAAGGCGAGATGCGGTTTGCAGCGTTAATGGATGTTTCTCTTCAAATACAGCTTTGAAATCCTAAAAGAAATGGTGTAACAGCAGAAAGAGACCAGAGGGGGTCTCTGCCTCCCCGGTTATTTCATGGTGGAATCAAATAGCTTCATAGTGCCAGGATGAGCTGATTTTATTGGACATGGCTGCACATTGTAAATATTGGAGTTACGCGTCAAACACGTTGAATTCCGATGAACAATTCCGAATGAGATGTAGAAAAAAATCAGTTCATTCCCGTAGTGCTCGCAGGGCTTTTTTCTTTCAATTTATTAGATATTGGGCTATTTGGTGGAACAAATCCAGCATCATGATCAGTTCCTCTGTATTATCTTAAATAAAACAAAAACAAAGGGATTCAGATAAAAATACACCCGGTGATAAATCAACGTTGTGCATAATTGCAGACCACTGTAGTACACCATGGGCATCGGGAATACTGAGGTTGAGTTAATTGAAGACATGCGTCGGGGGGCCGTGAGGGGCAGCGACACACCTGTGTGGACAAGCAACCTGCATCATTGAGGAAGCAGCAAATGGGCCCCCTGCTCTGCAGATAGACCAAAAGCCTAAGGAGGCTTTCAAGGACTTATTATTTCTTGATAATGAATTTCATCGCTGTACTTCCAGTGGATGGAGAGTCTGGATTCATGAGCGGAGGCTGTGCACCGCGCTGCGATATCTTCTGTCATTCATTTCATCACTGTCTGTCAAGCTGATCAGCCAAGACAATAAAGGCACAATTCCACCGTGGCAGCGAATGAACCATCTGAATGATGAAGACAAGCATTTGTGTGGACCAATCCCTCTGTGTGTGTGTGTGTGGCATCAGTGCACTAATCAGGACTTATAAGTGCTTTGAAAACCAATCGGTGTCCCAGGCCTAACATCTAGTGGTTTATTTAAAGATTTGTTTATCTTTCATTTATGAATTGGTGAATTGTAAATTAAAACTTTTACTCTCGTATCATCAAGTCTCCGTCTAGAATGGGTGAAATGTGTGCCAGTCTTAGCGAGTAAGTTTCCATTCGTTATCTACTTAAACTTTGTCCGCTAAAACGCAAAGAATATTACTTTGGAAATGCATTTCCATATCCACCATGCAACGATAGACCAAATAACTTACCATACAAAGGACAGTAGAATGCCTCCAAATGTTTCAATGAATATCATTACCAGAGCCTGAATTTATACATCAGTTAAATTGCAAAGACCTTGAAGTAACTGAGGTTGGGGCACAATTGGAAAATGCACAATAACCTATATAAGAAGTGATGGACAACTTAAATCTTACTACACAATTGCTTCCTATTAGTGATATTTTTAGGGAATTCATTCAACCATTACATTTGAAACTCAATATTTGTGTGAATGAAGGGTTTGTAATGTTGGTGCCTCAGTCCACCACTTTCGTCTGGACTTCAAAAGCTCAACAATTGTTTGACAGATTGCCAACCGACTGTGTACAGACCTTCATCTTCCCCAGAGGAAAGATCCCCTGTTGGTGATACCTTTGAATTTTTTTTCAAGCGCTACCAAGAGATGGATATTTTCAAAATTGTTTCAACGATAATTGGATAGATTACCAAGGAATTTGGTGTAGACATTCAGTCACCAGATGAATGACATCGCAGTAACTTTACTGATCCCTCGATTTCTCCTACAGCTCCAATGTGAGATGGATTTTTCTTTCTTGAGGGAAATCCTATGATATTTGCACAGCCATGTTGCACGGATTGTTTAGCATGTTGTTAGCCTTACCCTGACTTTTCCTTTAATTCCACCATTAGAGTGACATTTTTGTGATTCACTGGAATATCTCAATACCTTCCAGATGAATTGCCATCACATCGTCAAGTCCCCGACTTCTTTAATAACAGTTATTGCATTGGTAGTCCTTTGACTCTTTATGCAGCACTCTTTATGTTAATTTGTCAAATAGTTTGATTCATGACTAGATACCAGTTAAAGAAATTATATTCCACAGCTCAACTGCTGCGTTTAGTGCTGACTAACGAATGCTAGCGTGCTAAATGCTAAATCAGACCAGCTCAGAAATCTGCATGTTTACATCGTTGTGAGCGTATAACGGCACACTGCTGACGGTTAACCACCTCCGAGCCCAAGTGCCGGCAAAAAGACTCTCCGTCTACCTGCTAACAAGGTGTTGGAGTCATATTGCGCCCAGGAGGAGGTGTTATTGTTTAGTACACGTACCACGGGGCACGACGGCCTTGGTGGCCGCTGGGCAGCTTCGGCGGACCAGGCCAACGTTCCGTCTATTGCACAACGTTACTCTAATGGCCCTTGCTGAAGAAGGATGAATGCGTCACATTCATTCCAACAGGATTTTCCCCAAGTAGAGATTTAAACCAATGATCCTTCACTCATATTAGCCTTGCTCCGACTCAGCGCTGCGCCTCTCCAATTTGCCTCAATTTATGGTCCAACAACAGCGCACGAAAGCGCAAAAGATGGTTTTGTTTCGTCGTTCATTTGGGTGACATCTTTCTGTGATAATGCGGTTCCTCTAATCCCCCCCCCCGACCCCCATTTCCAGAAACAAACGCATAGCTTAATTAAAGGGGTAAGATGGAGGTGAGGAAACCTGATTAATGCCTTTTCTGTTCTCACACCAATTAAAATGATTGGTTTACAGTGGTCCAAATTGAAGCATAAACAAAATCTGTCTTGTGACTGAGCAGAAAAGGGTTCATCCATTCCCAGCATCGCACACATCGGTGTTACTGGATACCACCACAACTACTCATGGTGTCGGGTGTGTGTAATGCAGCCACAGCCAAAGAGGCTTTTTGGGAATTGTGACATCTTTGTGTCTTCATAATACTTAGAAAAGACTTCTAAAAACCAAATACTATATAAGTGTGAACAATTGTGACGTGTGTGATTTGCCACCCACTACTTACTCTGACATGATGTTTTACGTATTTTTTTAAAATTTTAAATGTATATATATATATTCTTGTAGCTGCTAGATTGACATTAAAAAAGACAAAACGGCTTGGAACCAAGAAGACATCTGTTGTTGTTTTTCTAGGATGGCCCTGTATGGATTATATGGTAATTGGTGCTATTTTAACTAAGTGTGAAAGATGTGGATAGGTCTGCTGTCTGTCAATTTAATCCCATCAATGTGACACGCTGCAAATCTACAGCCGGATTGTGAGGGGAACTTGTGCTCTTTTCTCCCCTTTTTTAGTTTTTTGCCTCGAGAAGAAAATAGATTGATGCATTTTGCTAATTCATTCAGCCTGTGTTTATGTCATGAAATTCACGGTTTTTGAAAGAATGAAATGAGATAAAATATATTGCAGGATAAGATAAAATCACCCTCTTTCCATTTTGAATGTTGTGACCTTTCCTGCACTATTATTTACTATTATACTATTATTTTAGATGCAGCCCTGTGAAGAGATACAAATGCTTATGTCTCTGACAATACTGTGAACAATCTGCCAGGTGAACCTATTTCTAAATGTAAAAACATTTAGTACATTTAGTAATAATCCTGTCTGGAATGAACACAATAAGAGGCCCACTATGCCTCGCGTCCAGGCTGGAAAAGTTAAGCATGAGCTCTTTTGTGGGCTTAGAAATGAGCCAGCCAGTGCAAGATTTAAATATGATCTTGACTGAAATGAAGAAGAGGACTGACAGAAAAGCCCTGCAATGTAAAACCTCTTTAGAATTTTTGGAAAGAGGTCAGGCGTGTGAATACCAGTGCTGATGGTGGTGATTCCGCTGTGGGAGAGGATAATAAGACTGTCAGGGTTGGTGGAAGGCAGGACTCAAACGCAGAGTTCAAACAGGAACATAAAGGACTTTAATAGTCAATGGTCAAAAAACACAGGAACCGGGAGCAAAAGCACACAGACGAGAAACTATGGGCATCCAAGACAAAGACAGGACATGCGTGGCAAAAGACAATGACGCGACAAGTGACACAGGAGACACAGGGCTTAAATACACAAGGGAGGTGCAGGTGATTGGACACAGGTGGAAACTATTAGACGATCACAGGGGACGACGGGACAAGC